CTCAGGGGATTTCAATCTTTTCTTGGTGGAGTACTACATACGATTTCCTCAAGTCTTATGATCACTGTCATTGATGGGTAATTATGGCTAATAGTGAAAGTTTGGTGGCTGGCTGAATTCTTCTTTCTCCTGGTAATCTCTGCTAGTCACAGAGAAGGGAGTGTGGTCTTGGTAGTCTTCTTAGAGATCAATCAATTAAACTTAGACATCCACCAGAAGACAGAGCAACAATTTATGTATTAGGAAGCCCCAGCTACTAACTCGTGAATGTAGTTGACTTAACTTGTTACTTAGGTGAATACTGGGCCTTCTGCAAACGTCAGTCATATCCTCCAAATCCCAGCTAAACTAAGCTAAAGCAAACCAAGGGAAAATAGAAATTGCATTTCTGGTTGAGAACTGTGCTCCATGTGTGATATGTTAATAACAGAGGCCCAAAGGGATAGCATTTAGCAGGGCCTAGTTGGTTAAAAAGACAAGTTCTGGCTACTTTATTTGGTTTAAGCTTTAGATGAATGCTTGATCTATTAAATAATCGTGTTTCTTTTGATATGATGGATATTTTTATTTTTTCATTTGATATTGGATTTGGCCATATCTTCATTTATTTCTCCCGTCTAGTTGTGGGGACAATTCAGGTAAAAAGCTTTCCAGCTTTCCACAAGTTTCTAGAACTTGTATGGTTCTTACTATGCTGGGTCATGTGATGGAACATGGATGAGGTAGATGTTTTCTTAAAGTTTCTTTGTTCTAGGAGGATTTTAGACATATCCTGAAACAACCTCCACCACAATAATAGTTAATATTTACACAGTGCTTTAAGGTTTGCGAAGTGCTTGGCACTCACACCTCATCAACACCCTGGGACCCCTCTGAATGGTACATGGAGTAGAAAACTCCCACTCAAATGTTGACTTAAGGAGGCTCTCTGGGCCAGACAACTCTTCATTTCCCATCCAGTTGCGCTTCTTTGGACTTCTTTTGTCACTCCCTTGAGTTTGGTACCCTCACCCAGGCCCTTCCACTTTTCAGCTTTCTTCATTTGTTATCTTCCCCCAGTGAATTGTAAGCTCCTTGAGGGGGACAGGCATTGTCTTTCTTTTTCATATTTGTGTTCCCAGTACTTAGCATAGTACCCGCACATAAATGGTGCTTCACAAATGTTTATTGGCTGACTGGCTGATTTGACAAACATGACTTCATTTTATCCTTACAACAACCTTGAGAGGTAGACGCTAACAAAGACCAAGACACGGCCCAAAGGTGCTTCCATGATTGCTAACTACCCCATTACCTCTTCTCTTTATAATCCTTCTCCAGGAAGTTCTCTTCTTCTCTAAAGTCACAAACATGACAGAAGCATTGTGGGTCCAAATGAAGATGCCTAGTCCTGACTGGGAATCCTCTGTTGTCTCATACTTCTTTGGCAGAGAATGGCTCCATTCATCCCATTGCTAAGCAACAAGAATTGAGCTCATCTCTAACATCTTTAACTGCCACTTTGGTTCCTACCAGACTTTATTAGTTAATTAATTCATAAAGGTTTCTTAAAATGAAATCAGACAAATGAGAGAGAATAAGACCATTATTCTTCAGATCTAGAGATGTGATAGTGCTATGAGGAATTAGCTTTAAATTAATGTGTGATCAGTTAAACCATTGAGTTCATTTTGATAAAATGGAGAATTCATTTTATTTTTTCATTTGATGCTAGATTTGACCACATCTTCATTTATCTTTTTCCTCTCCTCTAGTTGTGAGTATGCTTCAAGTAGGGGTACTTTCGGGTACTTTCTAGCAAACTGTCCTTGGTCATGGAGTGTGGTATTTGCCTATGAAATGAAAGCTTTCTCAAGGCCATCTCTTAAGATTTCTTGAATCTATATATAAGGTATTGATTGGCATGGATATATTAACACTGATGAAGAACAGCTTCTAAAACACTTGTCTGCTGGTATATTTTTATGAAACTTTTAAAAAAATTAATTTTTACTACTTTTAACTTAGAGGTGAGCATGGTTGCAAAACTACAGCATGACTATTTGTTGTCTTGACAATGGAAAGTTTGAGCAGAACATATTCCCATATAGAGGATTTTCACTCAAGGCTCTTAAATGAATGACTCTTAAAAGAAGTAGCTTTGAGAAAAATCTTCTGGTGCTGTAAAAATACCACTTGGTTTTTCCAACGTAAGAGCTTTAGTATTCATGTTAAGTTCACCCCCCTATATCTGTCTGTATCACAGTCCTCCCACCCCTATTCCTTAACCCTGACACCTAGAAGAAAAGGAATTGGAGGTGGGGGAGGATTGCAGAAAGAAGTATTGAAATATTTGAAAGAAAAGACATGCAGATGAAATAGAAATATTCACCCAATGCAGTGGATCAAGAAAATAGTAATGCATCTGTACAAACAATGATGTTACCACATTCTGATTCTAACCTCTGCTTATCACAACAGTTTACATGTCTATGTAAGGTTTACAAAGTACTTTTTAGTCTCTGCAACAACCCTGTGAGGTAGATTCTATCATTGCCACTTTATTTTACAGATGAGGAAACTGAGGCTCAGAGAGGTTTAGTATCTTGTCTAAGGTCACACAAAGAAATGTCTGATTGAGATTTGAACTCAGTTCTTCCTGAATACAAATACTCTCTTCACAATGACTCACTACCTATAGTCAGAGGCAGTGGGGCCTCCATCTCATTTGCCATCTATTCTATCACTCCTTGGATACATTGAGGGATAAGTTATATCACTCACTCTCCATCCCTCAGTTCCTCCTGTGTTTATGAAAGAGGCTTTTGGTCCTAATGGGCTTACTTTATTAAACATAATGAAGCATTCCTAACTCAAATTCCTAGTGATCTTTTTTTCTGACACTGCACCTGATACTTTTTTTTTTGTTTATGCTGCTGAACTCTTTGAGAGCAAAATGAAGGCTCCTTTTGCCGTTCTTAAGCTCTGTCCCGTTCATAGAACTTGCTAATGAGCAGTGCACAGTGGAGAGCTTGCACCTCCATGGGTTTACTGCTGGGCAGCTAACAGGATACTTTCATCCTTTGCAAATGAAATTGCTGCTCAGACTGTGTGACTGCAAAGAAACCCTGAAGCCTCCCAGATATGATGCTCTTATGGATTGGCAATTTCATTCATGTAGATAACTCCCTCCACCCATTCACAAGTGCTCCCTCTGTGTCTTCTCCTCCTGTACAATTTCTGTCAATGTTTCCCCATAGATGTTCCATATAGGCTCTATTCAGCATACTAGAAGGCTTCCTCTGGTCTTTTCACCTCTTGGAGTTCCCATTGTATTACTCAGGCCACCTACCTAGTTGTTGACACTTGTGCATGACTGGCCCACCTACTTTTTTGGACCATATATTAGAATTTCCTAAAATCATCTCTGATTTTAGATTTCTCAACTAATCTTTTGTTGTGTTCTTTCCTCTCCCACTTTAATATAGTTAGTCAGTCAACAAACATTTATTAAACTCTCATTATGTACCAGGCACTGGAGATACAATCCTAGGGACACACAAAGAAAGGCAAGAACACAGTCCCTTCCCTTGAGGAGCACATATTTTAATGGCTATAATGCAACATCAGCTCTGTTTCACAAAGAAAGAAAAGTTTGAACAGTTTCTTCTCCATTCTCTTTCCCCCTGCCACTTGAATGGATTCTGGAGGTTTTATTCTGTTGTCTAATCATTGACAGAGCCTTCTGAGAACATTCCAAGACAAACATGCAGTCCAGAGCTCTTCGTGGATGACATTTCAAGGGAGGGAACATATTGGTGATGATTGGGTGGATGTTCCATATCAACTTTTTGCAGAGAAGGGTGACAGATGTAGGAGTTAACCTTTTTGTCTATGAGTTGTCTTGAGTTTCTAATGTACTATCCCATGTACATAACTCTTTTTTCCCCTACAAAATAGTTCAGTTTTTTTTACAAGTTACTCCATTGTCTTCAGCTCATAACTTCACAAAACTGATGGCTGCCAAGGGCATCTAAAGAGATGCTGGGGTATCTCTTCATCGCAGACTGTGGGCAGATTTCTAGACAGGGAAGCAGGTTTGAATATATGAAAGGATGTCTCTATGCACAGCTGATCCCAGGGTATAAGGAATTGGAGTGATTGTTTGCCTTAGGCCTCTTGTCGGGAGGCTAAAACTAAGATGTACAGAAGGAGCTATATTCAACTCAATTAGATTCAACAAATATTAAGCACCTATTGTGAGCAGAGAAAATTGCCTTTTATGCTTTAAATGTTCTAGTATATTGTCATAGGAAATTAACTTTTTATTTCAGACTTGATTGTCATCTCCTTAAGAGCAGAGGCCATGACTTATTTCTCTTTAAATATCCTGTGTTTGGGGCTGGGAGAGATTCATGGAATGTCAGAACTGGGATAGACCTTAGAGTTCAATACCTTCATTTACATAGGAGAGAGCTGATGTCCACAGAAGTTAAGTAACTTGGCCGAAGTTTCACATCCAGTCAAATGACAGGATCAGGATTCTAATCTAAGTCTTCTTGTTCAAAGTCCAGAGCTTTCCCCACTACAATAAAGTCCATTAAATGCTGGTTGAATAAACCAGCGATATACATATACTTACTAGCCTAATACGTCAATTTCATGGTTTTTTGTTTTTTGTTTTTGGCAATTGGGGTTAAGTGACTTGCCCAGGGTCATACAGCTAATAAGGGTCAAGTGTTGGATCTGAGGTGGGATTTGAACTCAGGTCATCCTGGCTTCAGGGCCGGTGCTCTATCCACTGCGTCACCCAGCTGCCCCTCATGAGTTTTTTTTTTTTAAGCAAGAAGATTCCTGATCCAATTTTGTTAGCTCAGAAAATAGGGACCCCAAATTCTTCTTGTTGCTTAAATCACTGTAAACTCACCAGGTAATCCTTCTTAATCAAACACACACACACAAACACACACACATACACACACACATACACATTTATGTTCTGGCTGTCATCTGAAAACTAGGAGAGACCAGCAGCGCACCATTGATTCTCTGCAGTCGACTTTGGATTTGGAAGCCAAGAGCCAAGCTGAAGCCTCTCGGCTAAAGAAGAAGATGGAAGGGGACCTCAGTGAGATAGAGGTACAGCTCAACCATGCTAACCGACAGACATCAGAGGCCTCCAAATCTCTGTGCACCCTCCAGATGCAAATTAAGGTATTTCCATATTCTTCCCGGAAAATTAAATACTTCTATTTATAGAGATACAGCCTAAGGGATGGAAAATCCTCATTTACTCAACATTCTATACCAAGATCCCTTCCTGCAATTGTAGATGTAGAGCTAGAAGGGACCTCTGAGGCCATCCAGTCCAACATTTTACAGATGAGGAAACTGAGGTCTGGAGGAGTTAAGTGACTTGCCTCAATGTCACACAAGTAGCTTGTGGTGGGGATTTGAACTAAGGCACTTTGACTCTAAATCCAAGTTTCTTTCCAGTGACCATCCTGACTCCTCTCTTGAATAATTATTAGCCAGTAACAGCTTTTTAAATGTGCGCTCTCTCTCTCTCTCTCTCTCTCTCTCTCTCTCTCTCTCTCTCTCTCTCTCTCTCTCTCTCTCTCTCCCTCCCTCCCTCCCTCCCTCCACAATAAGACATTTCTTTTTTCCTTTGCTACAGAACCTACAAGTGCAGTTGGATGAAGCTACACACCAGAAGGAAAGTTTGAAGGAGAAAGCGATGGTGGCCGAGAGGCAACATGCTATCCTGCAGTCTGAATTGGATGAGTTGAGGTCTTTGCAGGAACGTACAGAACGTGGACGGAGATTAGCTGAACAAGAGCTTCTGGAAGCCACTGAAAAACTGAATATGTTGTACAACCAGGTAAGGATAATGAGGATGGTCTTTCACCTTCTGGCCACTACCTTGTAAGAGGAATGTTGACAAATAGGAGTATGTCCAGAGGAAATTAAAGGGTGTAGAAACCATGTCATATGTAGGATCATCAAAGGATCTGGGAATGTCTAACTTGAAAATGAGAAAATTAAGGAGAAACACAATCATGATCTTTAATATTCAAAAAGCTACCCTACTGAATAGAAATTTGATTTATTCTGCATGGATCCAGAAGGGAGAAGAAGAACAAAGGGTTAGAAGTTATAAGGAGACAGGTTTCAATTTAATATAAGAAGGAATTTTCTTCAAACGTGGACCATCTCAAAAAGCAATAAGTTTCTTTTCACTGAAAGTAGTCAAGCAAAAGCCGGATAAGCATCTACCAGGGACATAAGAGGATTTCTTCATTGTGTGGGAGGTGAGACTAGGTGCAGTGATGATACAAGGCATTTGCATACTCTAGGCAAGTTCTAAAATTATTCTCCCCTGTCTTACTGGCTGGAAGACCTTTCTTCACCATAAAACATATAATAATTCCTCACAAAATAAATGCCTACGGATCTCAGAGAAAGGCTTTTTCCAGCATGTCAAATGCCACATCCTATTGTATGTGGTTCTCTTGGCAACTATTGCCTTGCTAACCCTAGTCCCAGTTCTAGCTAGTTGACTTTGAAAGTCCCTTTTAACTCTTAATTCCTCCAGTTGGGGCCAAGAGATGGCTTGTGTAATTCCTTGGTTTCAGAGTTTACAGCAAAGTATATTTCAATTCTTGAAAACTTTGAGTATGAGATGAAGGTGGTCATGGTGTTTCACCACTCTTAATGAAGAAGAGGTGATGCTTTCTCTTAGGATGCTCAGTAACGAAGTAGCACAGTCAACAAATTCCAGTTAGTGGCCGATGGAGGAACAACATTCCATTATCCAGTAGCTGGAATTTGTTCCAGTTAAAGAAAACTACTTCTATCCAGAGCAATTTTGGAAAATTTCCAACTTGGAGGGGAAACAGTATAATGGGAAAAGCCCTGGTCTTGGAGTCACAGAGCAGGAGTTCAAATCGTGGCTTTGCTAATTACTTAATGTATGGCCTTGCCCAAGTGACTTAATCCACAGGGCCATAGGTTATTCTCTTTTAAAAGGCAGAGAAGGTGGACTAGGTGATCTCTACAGTTCCTGTTAGTTTTAAATCCAGTGATTTGGGTTAAAAATTGATAGAGCTAAGGATAAGATCTGCCAAGAAGATAAACAAGGATGGATTATAGAATCCGTGGTCTTTGCTTTGTAGTGCAATATCTTTTGCCTGACCCCAGAATAGCCTTTTACATGAGGGAACCTCCCCACTAGTTCTATGAATGCAGAGTTCTCATCACTTCAGAACTGTGTCCTGCTGGAGAGATGGGTCCCTGCGTGTTAGCCTAAACAGAAAGTTACCCCTTCACTATGTGGGCTCTTTTGTAGCCCATCTTTCTTTCTAGGATCTCCCCAGCCATCCACATTCTGTTTGGTTCCAATCAATCCATATACTTGAAGTTATAATGGACTGACTAAATGGGTATATAGTTGTGTCCTGGTTTAATAAATTCTAAATGAACATTTGGAGAGGCAGTTTGACATAGTAGAGGGAGGACAGACCTTGGAGACTAGGGTACCTAGGCTTAAGTCCTTGTTCTGACACAATACTAGCCATGTGACCATGGATAAGTCACAACTCCTTTGTTTGCTTTAAGTTAATTTTTATTTTTATTCTGAATTTAGCAAACACCTTATGAAATGACCTTTTGAATATGCATAGCAGCATAGAAAAGGAGGACTGTATATGTAACTGCAGGTGCCCCCCAGACTATTCTCTATTGATATAAATTATAGAACATTTGCTAATCTAGATTGGTGGAATGTTTCCATACTGGGAGTTCTCTAACACTGTCAATATCTCAGATTAAAAACCAGAAAATGCAAAAGAAAATTTAGATTTGCAAAAAAGGGGGGGTATGACTATTTATCTTGAAAAATTACTTTCTCATTGAAAAGATTCCCATAGTTATTCCTTTTGCATAGTAAACTTCTCTAGTGACCCAGGAACTCAGTATCCTTGTCTATAAAAGGAAAAGGTTAAACTATGCTTCTCTGAGTTTCCTTCTAGTGCTGATGTTTTATGGTCCTGTGAAAATGACATTCACTTTATACACAACTTTTCAGAAACATACTTGTCATATAAAATGACATACCTGTTATTTGGTCTGGATCTGTGATTGCACTGGTGTAGAGAATGCTCTGGTGAGGAAATTTCTACTACTAATACAGATCTGCAATTATTCTGCAACTCATAGTCAGAAATTTGCCCAGGGCACTGAGAGGTTAAGTCAAACAATCAATCAGTTGAATTTCATTAAGCATCTGCAATGTGCCAGGTGCTGTGCTAAGCTCTAAGCACTTAGTTTAAGTTATTTTTCCAGGGTCACATGACTGGTAGGGGTCGGAGATGGGCCTCAAACCTAGCTCCTCCTGACTCCAAGGGGTCTCTATCCATTATGCTATGCTGACTCTCTAAAGTGAGGTACCACCTATATAGCCAGCATCTTGAAACTACATACCTATAACTATAGCTCACCTCCTACTGGACATGCCTACAGAAATAGGAACCAAGGAGGATGGGGATGGGTCATGGCCTTGGGAAGATTGAGGGTAGGACTATATTATGAGAAAGAATCAAGGAAAACAGACTTATTGTCAATGAATCCTTCTATGGAAGAAGTAGGGGACTAGCCATAAGGCTAGAATAGATTCTTTTCTATTTCTGAATTTAAATCCGGACACCAAGAAGGTATTAGTTGGGAAGGAATTAATGAAATGATAATGGGTGAGAAATTGCCATATGAAGCCTTTATGTACAAGGCACTCTCTTTGATCTAGGCATCATCACACCCTTAGTAAAGTTGTGCTCATAAATACAGGCTAAAAATTAGCAGCTATAAGATCTTTGATCTACTGTGCTAGAGCCATTGGAGGAAAGGCAGAATCCAGCATTGTAATGGAGACTCCCAGTAGGGAATCAACAAGAGAGGGAATAAGATAGGAGTCTTTGTGTGCCACTTTGCAGTGGAAGAGAGACAGGGAGAAATTGGAGTATGGGATAGGAATGGGAAGGGAGAAAGGAGCCAAAGGAAAGACAAGAAGCTCTTTCTTCTTTCCTAAGTGGCCCAGCTGGTGAGTGAAGTTTTCCCCAGGCTCTATAAGGTGTCTCCACTTGACCTCAACTTCTGATCTAAGGGCAGTGACTGCTTACCACATCAAGGAGTGGTGGGCATGCAACCAAATTCCCAAGCATGGAGAAGTCAAAATACATTTTCTGGGGAGTTTGCACTTTCTGGAAATGATGGAAGACATCACTTTGCACTGATTCAGACCTTTCGCTACTTCACAGCTGAGATGAAACATATACATGAGGATAATGTGTACTTTGTGTGTGTGTGTGTGTTGGGGGTCTCTAATGTGAATTCTTTGAGTTTATGCCTATTTAGAAAAATAGCTTAGGGAATCAAAATAGGAGACCCTGTCCCCTGCCCACCTGACCCACCTACCCATGGATATATAATAGGAATTCTGGTCCCTGGGGCAAATTCAGTTGGTTGAATACGACCTCTTCTTTCTCAAAGTCAGCACCAATCCTCTTGGGGGGAGGAGTGACCATTCTTCCCCCCCCCAAAAAAGTAACCCCTAAGGCTAAGCTGATATAGGAGAGGCAACACGGTACAGTGGAAAGAGCACAGGCTCAAGAGTCGGAAGTCTCAGGTTCACATTGCACTTCTGATATTTACCTCATGGCATTTTCCTGGCAGAGGATTGTGAAGTGCTGGAGTGATGAGCCATATGTTCATGGAGGGGAGGAAGCATACAGTTGGATGTTATTACCCCAGGACAAAGCCCCAGTTGCCCCTTCTTAATTATGCCTATTCATCTACCTTCTTCACTGCTGATTAGATTTTGTCTAAATGAACTAATCAATTGTGGGACTCTATGTAGTTATTTTTAGGCAGTTCTAAGGTAATTATTTGCTTGCCTGCCTTCCTTCCTTCCTTCCTTCCTTCCTTCCTTCCTTCCTTCTTCCTTCCTTCCTTCCTTCTTTCCTTCCTTCTTTTTTTTAGAATACAAGCCTGCTCACTCTGAAGAAAAAATGGGAAACTGACAATGCCTGTATGAAGAAAGAATTAGAAGATGCAACAGAAGAACGTCGGAGCGCTGAAGAAAAAGCTAAGAAGGCAATTACTGATGTAAGGAGATGGTTGGTTCCCCACTGTTTTCTGAAAACAGTCTTGGGCTATGGTTGAGGGGCAGTATCAACTACGGGGCAACAAACAAGGGTAGTGTCTGTGCCATTCCCCTGCCTCATGACCAGGAATAAGTTGGTTGGTCTCTCTGTATCTAACTCTATTTGAAAAACATCAGCTCATGCTATCTTCCTCCTAACTGTTTCATGAAGTAATGAGGATAATTGGATTGATCCATGTAAAGCCTTTTTACAAGAAGGAAGCAAAAAAGGGATACAAACCATTTGTAATGTGAGAGTCAATATGTCTTGTGTTCTACAAACATCATAAACTTCCTGCCATCCCTTGCAAAAAGCTTTCAAATAGCTATTTGCCTCAACTCAGTAATGGTTTGTGTCAATGAGTGGGAAAGAATCCTGCATCCATTTTTTTTTTTATAATTCATATACCTCCTGGGAGGCAAGAGCAGGCTAGTAAAGAAAGATCTGGGGGTTTGAGAAACTTTCAGTATTTCTCTTTAGTGGAGTTGTAGGTGTTTCTCTTCCATTGGCAATACTACTGTCTTGAATCCATGCAAAAACCTGGCACTTTGGGTACAAAGGAGAAAGAGAGAAAGATCCAGAGAAATTAGAATTTAATGAGGGCTTCCTTTAGGGATTGTTAGAATCCTACAGAATAGAAGATTGCGTGTCCATAGTTCCTCCAAGTAATGGTCTGAGTCAGAATCATAACTAGCGCAAAGCAACTGAGATTTTTTTCCTTAAGGTGCCAACATCCAAAGGGGACTTTATTCCTCACTCCACTGCCCATATCTGAGCTTCCACTGTGAAGATCCTGTAATCATGATATGTTTCTCCCACAGCTCACCTTCTTCCACACCTGTCGTCCACATCCTTCCCAAAGCTTGAGTAGTCAGGAACTATTGACCATGTGTGTCATAGAGGCATGGCCTGGACTCTCTAGAGGATGGAATAGATTGTCCTCTGTGTTACCCAATCACTTGCTCTCTCCCTCACCAAATGTCACAAGAATTCCTAGTTATATTTTGACCTGAGCAATAAACCTCTAAAGACTTTCCCTAAATCCCAATAGCTGTGCTAATTCTGAGTCTGGAACTCTCTACAGAAAGTATGGGACGAGGATGAGCACTGTCACTCAGACATTCTGAATCAAAGCAGATGCTGGTAGAAGGGAGATGGGTGGTGGCTTGAGAAAGCTTGAAAATGTATTTGCTATCCAAGAACAAACAATTATCTGAATGTTTGTGAACTCTCATCCCCAGAGAGTAGCTTATCTCTGCTGAATTCTCTCTCCTCTTTCCTGTCTCTGTTTGACAAGTTTATGCAGTAGCAGGTTATAAAAAGCTGAAACTCCTAACACTGGCATCTTATTAAGCTGTCCTTGACAATTTTGAGAAGTGAAAACTCCTCCACAGCCTCTCCACAAATCCATTCAGTCTCAACCAGCTCTGCATAGGGCCGTCTGGAGATGTCTCAGGAAATCATACCATGTCCTGTCCTCTCTGTCTTTCTTGGGATCTCTCACACACTTGGTGTTAGGCAGATGACTGGGAACTTGACAAATAGATAAAGCTTTAATTCTGAGGGGCAGTGTTGCCAGAGACTGTTAAATGAATGAAGGACAGCTCTTAATGAAGTACAACACAATGTGAATGGACATCAGGCTAAAGCCAGGGATATGCTTCACAGACAAAAGTTAACCCAACTCTGCCCTGCTCATTGGAATTAGGAATGGTAGCCTGATTTGAGGTCCTTGAAGGCTACATTTAATAACTCTAATTCTGTGATCTGTGGATTTAAATGAGACAGGAAAAAAAAAAAACTTTAGAATGAATGATTAAGTAAACTGTGGTACATTAATTCAATGGAATAGGAAGACAATATAGCATAGTGAAGAGAGTTCTGGCTTCAGAGTCAAGAAGATTTGGGTTCAAGATCTGTCTTCGATATACTGGTTGGTATACAAGGACAAGTAACTCTAGCTCTTAGATTCTTCAGAAGAATCTAAGATTCTAGATTACAGAGAAGATGCTGACCTGTATTGGTAGAGGAAGAGTCCTCATTTGGGAATTCACTATACTAGGGAAATAACAGATCTCATGTCTCTCTCTCTCTCTTTCTCCATATATATGTATATGTATATGTGTATACACATATGTACTGCATACACACACATGTATGTGTGTGTACATATACCTATAAGTACGTACATATTATATATGTGTATGTATATATGCACACATACATATATGTGTATTTTATAGTGCTTCATTAACCAAAAAGAAGAAATCCATTTTTATCTAGACTTTTCCACTTCTTCCCTAGAGTCCACTGCAAAGATTTCCACATTTTCTTTGGCTCAATATACATAGTAGAGTTTGCCAGCTTCCATGGGACGCACACCCATGATGTTGTGTGATGGCGCCAATCTGGCTGCAATACAGCCTTGAGCTTGTTCTTCCTCCGGCTTTTCCCGAGACCTAAACCATGCCCAATCTGGGGAGACTGAAACGTGGCAGAGCCAACAATAGCTGCAGAGAGACGGAAAGATGGAGAGGAAAGAAGCAACAGTGAGGCCTAACACTCCACCAAACCCTAAAAGTGCAACAATTGGATTATAGATTTACTAGAAGGTATCTTAAGGGCCATTGAGTCCAACTACTTCATTTTTATTTCAAAAATAATTTTACATGCCTTTGTAAAGTTTCTCCCATCACCTCCCAAGCAAAACCAACTGACCCACCAACCCAAAAGTCAAAAACAAAACATGCATCATAAGCAGCAAAACAAATTTCTGCATTGGCCATGCATGAAAATGTATTTTAAGTTTATCACCTCTCTGGTAGGAGATGAATCAACTGCTTCATTTTACATCAAAGAAAATTGAGATGTCCAGGTTCATTAACTTGCCCAGCACCACACCACTCATAAGAGTCTAAGGCAGGATTTGAACCTCAATCTTCCTAATTCCCCATCTCATGCCTTATCTATGGTACCATATTGTAAGGGTGGCTAGAGGAATAATGCCATCTTTTTCTCATTCCAGGCAGCATTGCTGTCTGAGAATTTGAAGAAAGAACAGCACACCTGTATTCACATGGAAAGGATAAGGAATAACATGGAACAGACCATTACAGACTTACAGAAAAGACTAGAAGAAGCTGAGCAGAGTACTGTGAAGGGGGGCAGTAAGCAGATCCAGAAACTGGAATCCAAGGTATGGGTTTGGCTTCGAATTGGGATAGGTCCCATTAGGACCCATTACTAAGGCAGCTGGAGATATATTGGGAACACAGATAAGGCAGAAGGCAAGAGCTCAAAGCATCACAATAGAAAGAGGAAAGAATCTTGAATCTTGGGCCCACATTTGCCTCACCCCCCCCCCTTTTTTTGACATTTGGAAGAAGAATGAACAGGAGCAACAACGTCTGATTCCCCATACGAATGCTTAGGAGCATTATGCTCCATTTCCCAGGGAACTCCATCTTTCCCAGGCCTGGCCTTGAATTTAGGGGCTTCTCTCCATAGTCCCACCCAAAGCCCAACATCACTTCCCCAAACCTCAAGGAATTTTTTTTCCTGAGTTCCACACACTGCCTAGGCCCTGCTACCCTGACCACTGTGCTGTTTTCCTTGAGAATGTTCAAGGCTTACAGGTTACCTGATCTTGGTTTAGTGTTTCCTTATTGTTCTCAGGCCAACAGATAAGGCATTTCTAGAGTAAACCATTGTATTAGGTGGTTCCAAATGGTCTTGGGATAGGCAGGCAGGGGTCAAGGTGGCAGAATCTTTATTATATCTGCCCATTTGTGGGGGGGCATTTTGCTGTAGAAATTAATGCACACAGATGTATATGTGTATATACACGCAGATGTATGTATAAAACCATTATATATAATGTAGATAAATATAATGGTCCTGTACTATATACATACATGCATCTATATGTGCATGCACATATAGATGTGTATACCAGACCATTAAATATGTATTATATATAATAGTCCTGTACTACAATAGCTTTATACACACACATACACATACCCATACACACATACAAATATATGTGTGCATATGTGTATATGTATAAGTATATGTATATTTATATCTATCTACCTGTCTATCTATCTATTTCCTCTACTACAATAGCATCATGGTACACATAGCATTTAGAGCACTGGATTTGGAGTGAAGATGACCTGGATTCAAATCCTACCTCCAGTATTGCAAACTCATGTACAAGCCACTTAATTTCTCTAAGCCTCAATGACCTCATTTGTAAAATAGTGGCAGTAATATATCTACTTCACAGGGTTGTGAGGACTGAATCAGATGATGTCTGTATAGCATTTTGCTTCAGTGCAATCTAAAAATCATTGGTTGTTATACAAGCTGTAACATCTGCCTTTTTTGAATCATTCTATAAGACAACATATTAATCGTTCAACTGCAAAGCCCTTCAAGACTTACAAAGTCCCTTCCTTACAATGGCCTTGTGAAGTAAATAGTACAGGCATCCATCTTCTTAAGCCTCAGTTTCTTCATTTGTAAAATCAGAATAATGACTGAATTGTCTAGCATCACAAGGTTAAAAATGTAAGATCCTAGGTCTTGCAGCTCTCTACTACCTACTGCCTCTCAACATTGCAATCGTAACTGTGCTACATCTCGAATGGTATGTGATTACATACAAACCACAAACTTATATTCTATGCCTATGCTTGATTCCAAGTTCCATTATTAGGGTCTTAAATGTCATGACTGAACAGGGGAAAGTCTTAGTCCTTTCTCACATCTGAAGTAGACTTTGAACCATGGGAGAAACAGGCTAGTTCAGGGGTGGGGAACCTGTAGCTTTGAGGCCATATGTGACCTTCTAGGTCCTCGGGTGCAGCCTTTTGACTGATTCCAAGTTTTACAAGCAAAACCTTTTATTAAGGAGATTTGTTATGTGGAGTTTGGATTCAGTCAAAGGGCTGCACTTGAGGACCTAGAGAGCCACATGTGGCCTCAAGGCTACAGGTTTCCCCACCCCTGGGCTAGTTCATGAATAGTTGATAAATAGACCATTTAAGATTTCAAAAGGTCCTTTCAGTTCTGGTCCAGTCTTCAAGAAAAAGAATTGTCCCAAACAGATAACAATATTTTTAGAGGCCACAATATAGAGAGATTCTCCAGCATTCCTTAATTATCCCCCTTCCAATGATTTTGTGGGCTGGCCAATGGAATGACCATTTTTCCATCAACCAGTAAACTGAGGTGCTGTTTTGGTTGCAGATCTGTGAATTCGAAAATAAACTAGAATGTGAAGTACGTCGGAGTTCTGAGGCCCAGAACAGAACCCTTAAATTTGAGAGGTCCATCACGGAGCTGACTTATCAGGTATTGTGGGAAAATTATTTGAGGCAGTGAGGTGATACAGTAGACAGAGTCCTGGACTTGGAGTCAGGAAGATCTGAATTTGAATCCTTCCTCAACCATTTATTACTGATGAGACCTTGGGTGGTAAGTGGCACTTAGCCGCTCATTGCCTCAGTTTCCTCATTTGTAAAATGAAGGTAAATAATAGCATTTATTTCACAGTGTTGTGATAATGAGATAACAACATAAAGTACTTGGTGAACCTTAAAACACTAAATAAATGCTAGCTAATATTATTGTTGTTGTTTTTGTTGTTATGCTTTTTCATTGTTGGTCCTTTCCGGAAGAAATGTAGCCTTTAAAACCTAAAATGACTTTCTCTCTCCCACTGCTTTCACTCTCCATCTTTCTTGGTCCTCAGTCATAGATACAGACTCACCCTTCCTGGTCTCCCATGTTGTTAGTGGTATGGGTGGGCCCCTCCCCTTTCAGAGCTCTCAGGAAGCAGGAGCTGACTGGCAAGCCGCAATTAAAAGTGAAAAGCTATTTATATATTCAAGTCATTTTTCACAGTTGATGTCTACAGCTCCCTCAGAAAGACGACTTTCTCTATGATGCTGGGTGAGAACAGGGTATAAATGAAGAGAATGGTAGGCAGTCCAAGCCAGCTACCGTGGGATGCTTAATAGGAAACTGGACCAACATGGAAAGAACAGCCAATTCTGCTCCCAATTTTCAGGTTCCACAAAATTTAAAGATACAGAGCAGCCTAATGATCTACGTTACAACATGTATATATTATTAGCAGGCTATTTGTCAGCTAGGTTTTATCACCTTCGGCCCTCAAATATTCTTTACTCGATGACATCTCATGAGACTTTATTAATATTGTAGATTTCTTCCAAAGTTAGTGGTCACTGTCTTTTTTTCCCCTCTATAGACAGAAAAATGCCATACCTCCAAAAAGCCCCACAAGTTGATTTCAGCACCTCTAAAATAACAATACAAGCCTGCAAATGCAATGCATTTAAGAGAAAGAAAAAATAGACCCGAGAAAATAAAAATCAATCAGGGGGAAAAAGTACACCCATACAGACCAAAAGACCCCATCTTGCTCTAGCCTCACTGTACAATATAGTTCACTTGCTAATTTCAAAGTAGAAAAGCAAAAAAAGTATGAAGACAGTAATTTATAGACCTTACTCAGATAAAGGATGCTTGATCCGTATCTAGCTGCTACAGGCTGGAACCAGCCCATCTGGGAGTCAGGAGACCAAGATTCTATTCTGGGCCCTGCTTCTGATTCTTCGTCTGACCTCCATGCCAACATTTCTCCACCTCTATAACAGGGAGGATGGTGTTAGTAATTGGCAGTAGATAATGTTTCTGAAGGGTTGCGATATTTTCAGAGGGAATGTTCAGGGAATACAAAGTATAGCCATTACTTGTAGAGTTTTTCCTTCAATCCTTGTCAAGAATGTGCAACTCACCCTGGAATCAAATACTTCTCTAGACTAAGCTGAGAATGGAAAGCAGTAATGGTATAGTGGGGAGCATTTTGGTTTAGACTTAGAGGATCTGGGTTTGAAGTCCAGAACTGAAACTAACCACTTGTCTGACCTTGAGCAAGTTGCTTAGCATCTCTGGGCTTTAGCTATCTTACCTATGAAAAGAGGAGTTTGGGCTTAGGTGACCCTTAAGCATCCCTTCCAACTCTAACTCTTTGATCCTTTGGTTCTATGAGGCCCTAGAGAACGAAGGACAAATCACAACCACAGGAAAATTCCTTGGGGTGCATGTGGCCAGCTAAGCCCCTCAAAAACCTGAAAGAAAAACCTGCATTGTGCTAATCTGCTCCTGAGAATGGGGGAGCAGCTATTTTTTTTTAACTCATGTGCATGCCACTGAGGATGAATTGTGTTCCTTATTAATAAAATGTTTATATTTCCCCATTCATTTTTCTTCTTTTTATAAGCAACTTTACTACTGAACAAAATACCAAAGATACACAATTTCCTCCACTTTTCAGTGTCTTAAAGAATGCTTTCATGTTTACTTATATAGTAGCTTAGTTTTTAGGAAGTATAGGCTGGTCCAGGAATGTGCTAGAGCCAAGCTTTTGTTAGCTCACAAGAGCTGATTGTTAATGTTTTAGTATGATTGTTAAATTTTCACCTCTGAAATCAGCAAATACTAAATCTTACCTTGATTTATTGTTTTGTTAATTGTCTAGACTTAAAAAAGTGATGGAGAAAATGTGAATGATGTCAATGAAACTTAAAATTGTGCATTGTGCACGTTGTTTTTGGAGAACTAGCACCAACACACCCCTGGTAGTATCCTTTACTGACAGGCTCAACGTAATTATTTTGGAGATAATAACTATTCAATCCATAGCTCAAGTCCCAATCTGACGCATTAGTTTCTTGCTAGATAATGCCATAGACACATAAATCCAATCAGCAAAAGCATTTAATTAAGACATGCAACAACACAACAAAATTAGGAACAGAATCAATTAGTAGAACATTTTCTGCACCTGTACACAAATAGATAAAATCTCTTACACTTTACAGGGCCAGTTAAAAACAAATGTGGTGAGTGGTAAGTCGGTCTGACTAGACTGTGGGGTTTATGTGAAGGAGTTAAGGAGTCGTGACAGAGTGGGAACAGATCATGGACTACTTGGAGAGACAAGCAGAGGGGGTCTGAACTTCGTGAAGCAGGCAATGGAGAACCTCTGTAGGTTAGAGAAGGGAGGACTGAAGTGACCGAGGCAGAGTTTCAGGAAGATGAGTCTAGCCCCAGGGTGTAGGATTATTGGAGAGAAGAGAAAATAGAGGCAGGGAAAAAAGCACAGAATGTTATAATAGTCAGGACCTGAATAATATGGTAGTAACGGTAATGGAGAGGAAAAAGCGCACCAGAAAGAAATTTCAAAGAAAGAATAATTGGATACAGGAAGGGTGAAGGAGGAGGAAGTCAAGAGATTACAGAGATTTCTAGCTTAAAGTATTGGAATATTGGTGCTATCACTGAAAGTCAGGAAAGTTGGGCAGGAGTGTTGATTTGAGAAATTATGTAAATAGCTCTCAGCTCAACATATCCAAAAACTAAAATCAAAGTGTAGGCACTTGGAAACATGGATCTGTAGCATGAGTAAGAAGTCACGACTGTCGATAAAGATTTGAGAGTCATAATATGCCAGATTTAGAGCTCGAAGGGGTTCTAAAGCTCATCCACTCCAATCCTCCCATTTAACAGATAAGGAACCTGAACCCCAGAAAGGTTAAATGGCTTGGCTAGCAGAGAGGCAGGATTTGAATCCCAGGTCTCTGGCTCCCAATCTAGCAATCTTTTCCTGAGTCATCTGCAAAGGGATGTCTAGTTGAAGCCATGAGAAAGAGAAAGACTGACAGATAGGGACAGAGACAGAGACAGAGACAAAGACAGAGAGGGACAGAGACAGAGAGAGATTACATAAGAATTTTAAGAGCCCAAAATGCTCAATTTGTACATCAGAGCAACAGAGATGATTCCATTGAATAAATGATTGACTCTCACTAACAAGAATGTTTAAGAGGAGGTACTTGCACCATTTGCTCACGATGTAAGACTTCTCTCAACCTCATGGGTCTGCTTGTCCTTCCTAAATTATCTTCATTTATGTCCTCTTGTGCTTGCAGGCAGAGGAAGATAAGAGAAATCTAAGTAGAATGCAGACTCTGATAGATAAACTGCAGCTAAAAGTGAAAAGTTACAAACACCAAGTAGAGGCTGTGGTAAGTACCAGGGGCAACCACTCTCTCTCATAAAACTTACCTATTCTGTGACTATTCCCATTCAGTTGTCACCTGGGAAAATAATCTAATGATTGAATATTTAATAGAGTGTTTATGGAGCGATGACAACAAGTACACATAGCTTTGAAGGAGTGACACATTAACTGAGGACCCTTAAAGATAGCAATGTCTCAAAGAAAAGTAATCTATCATGGTAGGCCTGCAGGTTCTATGGCAAGTTAGCTAGAATATTTTGGTGTGGTAGAGCCTTACCTGTAATTATAAGAGTGACAAAAACATACCATTTTATTTACATAGACTCAAAGAATCTCATAGTTGGAAGGAACCTCAGAGACCCTAGTCCAACCTTGTCCTTAATCCAAAGTACCTTCTGTAGCATCCTCAAGTGGTCATTCAGTCTTTCCTTGAAGAACTCTAGAGACAGGAAACCTATGATCTCCTGATGAAGCCCATCCCACTTAGGAATTTTTCTCCTGTGTCAAACCTAAATCTGCCTGTCTGCAGTTTATATGTATTGTTTCTAGTTCTTGTCTCATGCAGTTTTCTTTTATGATTTCTTGAAATATAGCTCTGGTAAACCAGGCTTTGATAAAGTCCATTGGAATTCAAATGGAGCTACTTAACTATGCCTTTAAATCCAAATCGCTCTGGCTTTCACTGATTGACCAATAATAGGTCCCAGTCCAAGCCTCATTTGGTCATTATTTGGGTTTTGAAGGCTCAGAGTGAGTGTAAATAGCAATTGTTTCTGTTCTGGCCAGAAACTCTGAGAGTCTTAGCCTCCCAGACTGATTCTTTCATGAAGTCAAACTAGGCCATCTTTTGCCTCAATTCTTACCTAACCTTTAATCACTGAATGAATGTCGCCTTAGAAAAACTGAGAACTGGGAAAGTCCTTAGCTTAAAAAGGCCAAGGTCTCCCACTGCATCTGGGGCCATCATCAGTGGTACTGACCTATGTCTTGCCGCCGAACTCTTGATGATTCTAGAGGACAGAGTAGGGCTGATGACTACACAGACCTGCCTCACTTAAATCCAATTCACTTGCAAGTCAAGACATTACCCTCCTGATGTCGTTGGTTTTCTTAAGAGAAGGAAGAATGAACAACCACCCCCGATACCAAGTAACACAAGTCTAATCCAGGTAATAACCCTTTAAATACTTGAAGACTGCTAGCATATTCCCTCTGTATTTCCTCTTCCTACAGATTAATGTCCCCATTTTCTTCATCCTAGTCTCCTATATTGTGTCCTCTAGAGCTATTACTATCCTGGTCACCCTCTTTGAGAATGCTCTGACTTCTCATTCCCTTCCTAAAATTCAGCAACCAGAATTGAATGCATGACTTGGTATATGGTCTAACTAAGGTAGAGGATAACAGAAATGTTCCTTCCCTCTTTATGAGCCCTGTGCTTCTCAGTGCAATCTACGATACAATTAGATTTTTAGGCTGCCGTGTCCCATTGTTGACACGGGTTGATCTTGTAGTCCACTAAAAACCCCAGATCTTTATCACAGGGACTGTTTCTGGTCATAATTCCTCCATCCTTTACTTGTGAAGTTGATTTTTTTTTGAACAATGTATGAAACAATATGCTTGCCCCTGTTAAATTTTATTTTATTTAATCTAGCGCATGGTTGCATCTATAAAGCTCTTTCTGGGTCCTGACTCTATTATTCAAAGTCTTGGCTATCTGTCTCAGTTTTAAGTCGTGTGCAAATTTGATAAGTGTATTTCATGCAAGTTATTGATAAAAATATTAAATGCTGCAGAGCCAAGGACAAGATCTGGGACACTCCTCTCGAGACTTCTGTCAAGTTGTCATTAACCTATGACTAAGTTTTAGATCTGGTCATTCACTCAAATCTACCTTCCTGTAGAGCCCTGGGCCTTGAGTCAGGAAGACCTGAGTTCAAATCTGGCTTCAGGCAGTTACTAATTGGGTGACCCTGGGCAAGTCACTTAACCTCTTCCTGCCTCAGTTTCCCCAACTGTAAAATGGAGATAATAGTCCCCAGTGCCCTGGAAACATCTGCTTCCCAGGATTGTCGTTAGGATCAAATGGGGTAATATTTGTAAAGTGCTGATACATAGTAGGCACTTATCAAGTGCTTATTTCCTTCAGAATTTGTCAAATGCTTTGTTGAAATCCATTTATTTACAGCATCCTCCTGACTTACCCTGTCAAAGCAGGGTTGGGGTGGGGGAGAGAGGAAATTAGGTAAGTTTGTCATGATTGTTCTGCTTCCCTTTCTAAGTGCTCATTAACTAACCCTTAAATGATGCGTTCTAGTATTTTGCTAGGAATAGAAATCAAGATCCTTGGCTTAGAGTTTGCAGATTCCACAATCTTCCTTTAAAAAGGGGGAGGAGGAGGGTGTTTACCCTTCTCCAGTCTTGTTGTGCCTGCCCTGTTATCCAAGATTTTTTGAGAATTACTAACTGTAGCTAATCAGTCATATCTGGCAGTTCTTTCAGTGCCCTGGGATAAAGCTCATTCAAGCCTGTGACAGGAACTTACTGAGGATGATAGATCCCATCTCATCCCTTATATCTGATTTCTACTCCTTGCTTAGCATTTTTGTCCTATTCTTCCCAGGCCAAGATCATCTTCCTCCAGAAAGAAACCAATGAGCTATTGCGTGTCCTGCTCTTTATTATACCAGACTTGGCTCATCCATTGGGGGAATTTTCAATTTCCCTTTCTTTTTTTAGTGTGAATCACCCTTGACTAGGGTTGCAAGGTTAAAGGCCGTTCTTAGGGATAACCCAGTCCTGGCCAGGAACTCATCACTCCTACATTTTACGTGGTTCAGAAATCCAAATCCTGCCATCAGACACCATCTTCTTAGCCAGCTGTTCATTTCTCAAATCTAGTTTTTTTCTTCTGAATTCTGTACCTTCAATTAGTAGCAGTGATTGAAAACCTCAGAAGCACAGCTGGTGTTTTGTTTGGTTTTCAGTGTTTTGCCTGGGACTTCATAATCTTTAGCAATGCTCTTTAGGTGCCTCCTTGTGGGGATATTATTTATCCCCACATGGATCTTTAGTAGAAAGTATTTTAACAATTCTGTATATATGCTCCTAGAAGCTGGCAAACTTCTCTGTCACATAATAATAATAGCTGCTATTTTATATAGAGATTTAAAGCTTGCCAAATGACTTAGAGATATTGTCACCTTTTATCCTCACAACAGCCCTGGGCAGGTACTATTATTATCTCCATTTTACAGATGGGGAAACTGAGGCAGACAGAGGTCAAGAGACTTGCCCAGAGTCTCACAGCTAGTAAATGTCTGAGGATGGATTTGAACTCGGTTCTTTCATGACTTGAGGTCTAGCATTTTATCTGTTGTGCCTCCTACTTGCCTCTATGTGTCAGACCAATAATTAACTGCCTTAGTATTGGTCACCAGATACCATTACTTATCTCTTCTTCTGTTATTGGGTGACCTTTCATTTGGTAGCATCTGAGCCATAACATCGTTCTTTGGAGTATAAGAAGTACTTCCCCTCCAGGAACAGCTTTATATCCATTACCTAGCTTCAAGTGTTGAGTTCTCCTTATTCTCCCTCTCTTCTCTATGTCCCCTTCTAACCTTTACTTCTGATTCAGGTGATGTTTTTCTTCTGTCTTTTTCTTCTTTATTTTCTGTATGGAACACTCATTACATTCTTTCAAAGAACACTTAATTTCTCCTGTTACCTGAAGAGGAAAAAATGTGTTCCTGCAATCCTTTCACTTCTTCTGCTAGATGGAGATTAATTTGCACTTTATGTCTACCCAAGTCTTACCTGACATGAAGCAGAAACAGACATAGCACGCTTTCCTCAGGTCATCATAAAATTCCCTTCACCTTTCCTCCATAGTTGCTTGAACCAAGATCATCAGTCTTTTCTTCTTTTTGGTGGCTCTCTTGTCTAACCACTGTGGCTAATTTCTAACTAAATACTTAAATTCTATATGGTTGACAGGGAGCCTAGCAGTCAGGAAAGGAGAAGAAGATATCTGAAGATCAATCACATGGAGACATAGGAATATAGATCAATCACAAAGACACAAGAAAATTGATCAATAGAATACAGATCTATAGAATATAGATCAAACATAAGGAGATGTAGGAATATAGATAATTAGAATATAGATCATTCTCAAGGAGATATAGGAAAATAGATCAATAAAATATAGATCTACAGAATATAGACCAAATACAAAGAAATATAGGAACATAGAAGGTAAGGAATATGGATCACATTAAATAGCTGCGTTTTGTCTATGTCTCTTGAATGCTTGTGTCTGCTAAATAAATAAAACTTTCCCTATTTATTTCCCCCTCCCTTTCCCATCGCTGGAGGTGATAGCGAGTGTGGCCTGTTCATCATGACTATTTCCGGTTCTGTGGTTTCTGCTGCTGGTACTCTTAAGCAAAGCCTTATTTATTTAAGTCAAACTTTCCTATTCTGGTCATAGAACAGCAAAATCAGCTCGGCTACTTTTAATTGCTTGTCATCCCATTCTTGTTATACCCTAAAAGAGATAGAAGCAAATAAAAACCAAATCACAAATGGAAATCTAATCTAATCAAATTTATCTTTGTTTCTCCTTGATGCTAAAGTTTCCTTCTCTGGACACTATGCACAGTGTGCCCACTGGGCTTAACGATAGGAGGATGGGACAGACAAAGCTGTATTTAGCAAACACAAGCTCAGATGACACAAACCTTCAAAAACCCATATATAGGAAAATTGAAAAAAATTTAATGGGAGCTACTGACTTTATTTCACATTCTCACTGACCTCTCAACGTCTCCCTGTACTTCCCTGGCTGCTAAGCTTTCTGTCAATCACGTAATATATTCGGTTTATCATTATGCACCAAGGATTTAGGGAAAACTTTACTGCACCTAATTTGTGCAAAATTTATGTCTTATTAAACTGTTTCTCAAGCTTTTTGGGCTCAGGACCTTTTTACATTCTTAAAAACTATTAGGGGCAGCTAGATGGCGTAGTAGAGCACCGGACCTGAAGTGAGGAGGACCTGAGTTCAAATCAGACCTCATACCAAACATTTGACATTTACTAGCTGTGTGGGACCGTGGGCAAGTCACTTAACCCCAATTGCCCCCTCCAAAAATTATTGAGGACCCTCCCACAAGAGCTTTCATTTATATGGGATTATATCTATTGATATTTGCCATATTAGAAATTAAAACATTTTAGTATTATTATAGAAATAGCTTTGATCTCCCAAAGACACTTTGAGAACCACTGCTCTATCATTAAGAGCAATATTACAAAACCAGGGTTTGAATCTCTGATTCTTATTATCTGTATGACATTAGGCAAAGCACTTAAACCTACTGGGTTTAAGTTTCTTCAGTTCCCTACTGCGACTCAGTTTCCTCATCCAGAAAATGAGAGAGTTTGACTAAATGATCTCTGTTGTTGTTCAGTTGGGTCTGACTCTTTGTGACCCCATTTGGGGTTTTCTTGGCAAAAAACCCAAAACACTGGAGTGGTTTGCCACTTCTTTCTCTGATTTATTTTACAGATGAGGAAAATAAAACAAAGATCAAGTGACTTGCCCAGGGTCACACAGCTAGTGAGTGTCTGAGGCTGGATTTGAACTGAAATCTTCCTGATTCCAGGCCCAGCACTCTATCCACTGCTCCACCTAGCTTCCCCAGTGATCTCTAAGTTCTGTGCATCAGCCCTCAGTTCAGGAGAGGATGCTTTAAAGGGTGTTCTGTTTGTAGCTTGAATTTCTGATGTGTTGAAAACTGAATTCCTGCATATTTCTGAAATGTCACAGGCTTGGCTCAGAACTCAGGAGTTGTAATCCTGTTATACACTTCTCAAGTTTTTTTTTTTTACTATGTTAACTGTGGTCATAGCAGAAAAGTGTGAGACCATCTGAGCCCTTGGGACTTCTTGTTTCTTGACAGGAAGCACAAGCCAATCAATATCTGTACCAGTTTAAGACTCAGCAGCATGAGTTGGATGACGCGAAGGAGAGAGCAAAAGTGGCCGAATCCCAGGTCAACAAACTTAAGGCTAAAGCGAGAGAGATTGGAAAAAAGGTATGTCCTATATACCAGGGCTCAACACATATTAACCATTTCACCAGACGTACTTTGTTGTCCACGCAATTTTATTGACCTAGCTTATGAAAACTTAAAAAATACCTGACTCTCCCTCTCTTCTCTCTCTCCTTCCTTCCCTCCTTTTCTCCCTCCCTTCTCCTTCTCTCCCTCTCTCCCTTCTTCTTTCCTCCTTTTCTCCCTTCCTCCTTCCTTTCTTCCTTTCCTCCCTCTTTCCCTTCCTCCTTCCCTTCCTCCCTCTTTCCCTTCCTCCTTCCCTTCCTCCTTCTTTTTCTTCCCCTTCTTCTTTTCCTTCCTCCTTCCCTTCCTCCTTGCCTTCCTCCTTCCTCTCCTCCCCCTTTTCTCTTTTCCCCTTCCTTCCTCCTTCCTTCACTTTCTCCTTTCTTCCTTCTCTCTCTCTCCCCCTCTCTGTCTCTTCCCCCATGTATACATATACACACATATACACATATGGATAGATATGTATGTGCATACATAATATATGTGTATATATATATACACACACAAATATACCTTTTATTTAATGCTTCAAGGTTTATAAAGTGCTTTCCTTACTACAGTCTTGTGAGGTAAGTAGAGCCTCATTATCCCATTTTATAAAGAGAGAACCAAGGTGACATATTCATGGTTCCATAATTAATGAGGGTCACAGCTGGGTCTCAAGCCCAAGTGGACTAACCCCAGGTCCAATGTTCTTTTTGTCATTCTACATTGCTGCCTCTTCTGTAGGTGAAAAAGGCCCAGACCAATTCTACAGGGACACACTTTTAATTTTTATTAGATTCCTGACATGCCTAGTTTCTTTCAGGATCCATTTCAGTATTGTGAGCTAGGCTGATCTGTGTCAAATGACAATCAACAGCCCTGCAAGAAAGGTTGATTGACAGGCATAAGAAGGGAACCGTTTGGAATGTCAAACAGATCTAATTGTACTTTTAAAATATAACATTGTTGTCAAAGGGTCACAAAGCATGAATGGTATCAGTGTGTGTGTGTGTGTGTGTGTGTGTGTGTGTGTGTGTGTGTATGTGTGTGCGCGCGTGCATACGTGGGTGGGCATCTAGGTAGTGTCTCATTCTATTGGCTTATATCCCCCACTGAGAAGACCCAGGAAATTGTAGCATGATGGCCCCATTATGCTGAGACAGATTCTCCACTTGCAAGCGTGTCATTCTAATAAAAGATGATTAAGAAAAGTAGAGAAAATAGAGTCCCATTAGTTGCATGGATGTGTTATATTCCCCTGAGTTGTTTGTAGTTCTAAATGGGAGAGTTCTGCTGGCAAAGGACTCTTCCCCATAATTCCTCTCTTGGTTGAAGGCAGGAGTGAGGAAGGGAAGGTCATTTTTTCTTTTTCTTTTCCTCTTCATTTTTCTGCTGATCTTCTTGATGGCCCCCAGCTGCATAATGTGACCACCTCATCTGCCAGTTTCTCAGACCAGGAGAAGATGAGTCTCTAAAGCTCCACCGTCTCTCTCCTTCGTACAAGGTGAAGGCCAAGCCCTTCTAAGCTGTCTTCTTCCTGGGGGTCATCACCCAGCATCTTCCTCTTTTCCCTTGTCTTTTTTCTTCTTTCAGTATCTTTCAGTTACTGTCTCAGTATTTTGGCAGCCATACCCTGTGGGCTGATGATCATGAACAAAGGGAAAAGGAAAAGATTCCAACGCCCAATAATAATAGTAGCTCATACTCACACGGTACTTTGAGGTTTGCAAAGTGGTTTACTAAGGAGTGACATGTTTATTATTTTGATAAATTGGAACACAGGGAAGAGTGCTTCAAGGGACTTTAAGATTAGAGGACTAGGGTTTTATCTCTAACTGTCCCTGAATTACTGAGGTGAAATTTTCCCATCTCTGTGACATTTAAACTTTATACTTGCAAAATGAGGGTAATAATTTTTACCTTGGGGCAGCTAGGCAGCACAGTGAATAGAGTGCTGGTCCTCCAGTCAGGAAGACTCATCTTCTCGAGTTCAAATTTGGCCTATGACATTTACTAGTTGTATGACCCTGGACATTTAACCCTGTTTGCCTTGATTTCCTCATCTGTAAAATGAACTGGAGAAGGATGTAACAAATCACTCCAATATCTTTGCCAAGAAAATCCCAAATGGGGTCAAATAGTTGGACACGACTAAACAACAACAGTTTTTACCTTTGTATCAGAAAGAGTCAAAGAACAGAGGAAGGACCACTGGATCAGTAATCATGCCACCTAACTCTGCTACTAACTGACTGAGTGAACTTTAACAAATCACTTAGCCAGTTGGGGCCTTAGTTTACTCATCTTTAAAATGGAAGGATTCAATTAAGTAATCTTTGAGATCATTTATAGCCTGACTATTATATTATCTGAAGTTTGAAGTTGTAAAGGGAATAAAAAACAAAATAAAATGACTCACCATTATATTGATAAGCCACTGCCCCAAAGTCTAGGGCAGATATAACTAGTATAAGAGCAGGTGAGAAATATGACTATCCAGCCTACCAATTTCTTAGTCAAAAAGAAAATGAGGCAATAAAGTTCTCCAATCTTTCAGTTCTGTCTCCTTTGAGAAAAATAAAAGCAAGAACCTGCAGAGTTTCCTTTTCTGGGATATTGTTATCTCCTCTCTCTGAGGGTGTTCCCTCTGGCCTCTGTCATGGCACCAGAAGGAAATCATAACGGAGCCCAAGACGGTCAACGCTGTCATGCTAAGGTGATCTTTCTCCCCTGGAGGTCAGAAATTGCCACAGGAAGCCATGGGCCAGTCAGGTGGAGAAGGCAACACCCATCAGGACTCACACACTTGAGTTGCAGAGTCACCAGCCAATCTGCAACTGTTCTAAGTGGAGTGATGTCATAGGACCCAAGGATTCAGAGCCTGAAGGGGCTCCCTTCATTTAAAGATGAGGAAACAAATCCATGGTGAACTTGCCCTCAAGTTCACAATAATTAGCATTTAAGAGATTGGAGAATTAAAACCTAGGTCTTCTGAATTTGAGTCCAGTGACTTTCTCTGACACCAGGCTTCTCTTGATGATAATTTAAGTGAAGTTGCCTTGGTGATGAGGTCTTTGATGGAGGGGTTCCCTATATATTGTTGACAAGGGCAATAGAAATGGCTTCAATGCAGAAGGACTTTTGAGAAAAGGATTATCTTTTCTTTATTTTTTACGTTTTTTTGAGGCAGTTGGGGTTACGTGATTTGCCCGGGGTCACAAAGCTAGCAAGTGTCTGAGGTCGGATTTGAACTCAGGTCCTCCTTACTCCAGGGCCAGTGCTCTATCCACTGTGCCACCTAATTGCCCCCAGAATTCCCTTTTCTTAAGAGTTAATTTTAAAAAATAATAATCTTAGTGTTTTTCATCTTCAAAGCGTGGAAGCATTTAACACAGTGGAAAGAACCACAGCTTTGAAGTTGGAAGATTTTAGTTCAAATTGTACCTCTGACAATTACTACCTGTGTGACCTTAGGAAAGTCACTTTATTTCCATGGTTTTCAGTTTCCTTAACTGTAAAATGAGAGTTTTGAGCTTGATAACCTCTGAGATCCCTTCTAGCTTTACATTTATGATCTTATGTTATAGCTACAGTCTGAATTATTGGAAGACTTAAGAAGTTCCTGACTGTAACATGAGAATTCATATTGCTTCACTTGTGAGGCTCTAAAGAGGCAGATAGATGTAAAAAGCTTTTCAAGCAGCTTTAGAATTAGAAAAATATAATATAGAATGTAATTTTGGAGTCTCAGTTCAGTGACTGCCCAGAATTCTCATGTGACGCATGGATTTGTGTCTTAGAAGGCTGGAAAAGCTGTCTTAGAATAAGGGATTGGAGTGATGCAATGACCCTACTTGAACAGGGAGTATAAAAAAGTAGGTTTAATCCACTTATCAAACACAGTCCAAGAATATATGCTGATAATCCTGATGAGCTCCAAGACCATTCCTCTGCCTCCATTTTCTCCATGGAGATGATGCTTGGATAGAGGCATGACCTGTGTGGAATGGAGGATCTGCCAGAACTGAGGAGGTGGGTTCTCCCTCACTGGGTTCTTCTTATATGTTTGAAGGGGTGTCCAAGGTAATTACACTAGTTCAAAGTCTGTTGTGCATGAGCAAAGAAACAGTTGTGCCTTAGCTACCTACCTGACAAAGTCTACTAGGTAACAGTAGTCCCCATGGGGCTTGTAATCCTATCTGCCCATAGTGTAAGGGCTTCCAACTTGAAATTCTGTCTGTATCACATGGTCTGATCCCTCCCTTATAATACAAGTGGACCTAGCTGTGAACTACTGCATTCCACTAATTGGGATCATGGTGACCCAGGTAATTTAGTCATCCTTAATAATGAGGATCTGGCCTCTGCTGTCGTCTGCTCTTGGTCAGAATTGTGAATTGGGTATTGTGAATAGTTGCTGGGTATAGGATACTAAGCAAAATCTTAGAAGCGGGCTATAAAGCCTCTTATTAACAATCCAAATAGTTTCGTTATCCAAGTCTAGAGATCTTCTATTCCTCATTCTGGAACTTACGAATCCTTAGTAACCTTTCTTTCCATGAGCATCTTAATCAATAGCTTTTCCTTCCCAGTGAAATTAGTGTTATTATGATACCTACCATCACCTACCACAACCACCTTCCATTAGTTAAATGTTCTAAATTTGGTCTGAATCAGCCATCTAATTGGCAAAGAAATTTTGAAATTGGGTGGTATCTCCCAGGTAACTCAAGGGGCTATTGCTCCTGCTTTGTGCAATGCCAGGTTAAATCTTCTACCTCCCAATATAGTAACTATCAGAATGAAAAACAGTTCTAGGGTTATTCATTATAATTATATTAATATACAGCTCTTTCTCTAGCATTTCCACCCCCTCTTTAAAATGGCTGTAATTCAAAAATTTGAGGTTGGTGTTCCCCTTCCTCAGATCTTTGGTTCTGAGCAGAGAGTGGGACCACTCACCCACTAGATAGCATGGGTGATAGTCACTGGAACTGGAGTCAAGAAGAACTGAGTTTGAATCCTGCCTCACATATTAGCTTTATGACACTGAGCAAGTCTCTTGATCTCTCTCATCCTCATTGAGTCTACTACATGTGGTTGTTATAAGGGTCAAATGAGATAATATATGTAAAGTACTTTGCATTCCTTAAAGCATCATATAAATGCTTCTGCTGTTATTGTTGTTATTTGCCTGGAATGGGTAGTGACATTTTTTCCCTCCCTGGTATCCTCATCATTATGAATTCAGTGATACCTGATGATAGTTACGTTAAGATTCATCATAAAACATTTGTGTGTCTCCTTCCAGTAGAGGAATTTGCTGTGAAAGGAGGAAGAAGGCTGTGGTTGAAACAACTTCAAAACTGAGTTGGGAGGATCCTGTTATTATCTTCATAAGGCCATGATCTCCACCTCTCCATCAATCCACATCCACCTTGGTGACTGTAATGTTGAAGTACTAGGTGGCATTCCCTCTGTTAGCATCTTCCTCTGAATGATGAGTTATTGGCTATGCATCATAAATTCTCTTACTAGAAATCAAACTGAGATCAGATCAGAATTACAATCCCAAGAGCTTCCACCTCATATAGTAAATTATACCAAAGTAGGATAATTGCTTCCCAAGTTAACATTAATACAAACAATTATGACATAATACATGAAAGTCATTTAAAACATTCATCTTGTTTAAGCTCATACAAAGTCTTTTCTAAACACTTATATCTGGATTCATCTCTTTCTAGCTTGACATATCCTGATTTAGCCATTACTTGTCAAAATTAAGAATCACAAAAATAATTTGGACACATTTTAGTGTTTTACACAGAAATTAATTTCATGCACTTCCTTGAAAACTCAGTCATTTGTTAAGGTTAAACTAGATGGCTCAGTATTATCTCTGAGAGTTTAGGAACTGCATGTCAATCTCTCGAGAGTAAAATTCTTCTAACCTGGGATATGTAGACCCAAAGTTCTAAGTCTTGAGGTTTAATATCTCTCTTACAGTTTAAAGTCTCTCACAAGATTCTCAGCAGGCTTCAAGCTTTTTTCTGTACTTGGCCTAAAGTAGACAGTGTAGGCTTGACAATGAAAACCTTTATACACATCAGTGTTTTTCTGCAGTTGAAAAACTCATCATATTCACAAAGGTATGGAGGCTGTCATTATTTTATCATATTTTTCAATATTATATAACTAGCATATTGAATATTAAGAAAATTTGGAGTAAGTCCATTTATAATATGTCCAGTTACGTTCTATATATTCTATAATAACCAGCAATTTGCATAAAATTATTTATCTACTATGAGCAACCTTTGATTACTTTCTAAATATTTCATTGTCCTATTGGTTTTATTACTTCCAAGCTGTTATCTTAACAAACTGCTTCATAATTACTATCCTCCCATTTAGCAGGAGTCATAACTCTGTATGTACATGTGTATGTGTCTATGTGTATGTGTGTGTTTGTGTGTGTATTTGAAGGGGAATGACAAAATTCATTGGAAAGACTTACATTTAAATATATAAATTTACAAACTTCATCTAAGCACTTTCTAATTTAACTTGTTTTAAGCTTTTAAAAAACCAAAAATCAATTTGCTAATTTTCATGCTTAGATTCAAAATTAACAAAAGCTTCTTGTTATCCCACACACGTTCCTGTGGAAAGTAGTGCTTTTTTTTTTCCAGAGAATGGAGAAAATAGTATGCTATAATATACCTCTCTTATAGACACTCAAGGTCTTCTATACTTCTGCTAAAAAGTAAATTAACTCTTAGAATAACATGGCTCTCAGATTACAAAAATTGTTACCATTAGGACACCCCAACCCTTTGGTAATGGCCTGGATTTGGGAAGAGTTATTTCAGTGGGGGGCTTCTCCAGACTCAGTGACAAAGGTCTCAATAATAAATCTTTCTCCTTTCTTAACATTAAAAAAAGCATAAAAAGATTCTTCTCTCTAGGGAAAAAGAGAAGAGTTCTGAGTGCATTTGTATACACAAATTCTACAAAATTTCCACTTTGGCCATTGCTAGCACAATTTGGAAATCTATATTATTCAAAAAGATTATACCTGACTTTATTCATAGATTTAGTGTCTCCTTAGTTTTCAATACTAATCTCTGCATACGCAGGAGGATATAGATTTTCCTTTATCTTTCTCTTGCCATACCAAGTGACCTAATTGGAACGCAGAAAAAAACTATATCCTTTAAAAGTTTTGCTAAAAACAAAGCAAAGAAAAAAACCCCCTCACTTCTTCTAATTACCCTTTTTCTTTTGCCTATTCACAAGAAAAAAGCAACTCTACCCAGATAAACAGATACAGACTACGCAGACGCTATTGACAGCATACACGCTAATCTGTAGAAAAACAACAGATAAATGAAATAGAAAAACCTTTCTGTGAGAAAATTCGACTCAGGGCAGCTGCTTGAGCTATTTCTATTGTTGAAGGAGTTAAACTAAAGTTTCAAATAGACTAAAAATTTTCTCTTTCCTGCAAACGTGCAGTGTTCCTCCTACTTTTTTTTCATCCATTCCACCTCCCTCCCCCCAGGTTTGACAAAGCATCTTGTCCCACTGATGAGATTTCTTTAAAACTACCCAGAGCTCTTGTTCCATTAGATGTCACGGGCTAATGTCCCCCTTCTCCCATCTTCTGTCCCCCTTTTCTCCTTGTTTGGATGAGGGACACATTTTCACCACTACCCCTCACAATGCCAATTGTTGAGGCCCAGAGGACTCTCCTACATCTGGATATTGGAGTGATGTAAATGACTGACTTGATTCAAACAGGGGTATAAAAAAGGACATTTTCTTAGCTTATAAGAATATGGTTGTTCATGACTAATGACTAATGTGGAAATATGTTTAATATGATTGTACATGTGGTAGCCTATATCAGATTGCTTGCCGCCTTGGGGAGGGGGGAAGAAGGGAGGGAGGAGAAAAAAATTGGAATTCAAAATCTTATAAAAGTGAATATGAAAACTACCATTACATATAATTGGAAAAAAATAAAATACTATTAAGTGGAAAAAAAAAGAATATGATTGTCAAAAACAAGGCAAAGTTATATGCCAATAACCCTGATGAGCAGGATTTCTCCCAGAGATGATTTCTGAGGGGTGGCAAGTACAGTGTCAGGGAGTGTAGAACCTACCAGGTCTGATTCAGGCCTCCTCATTAGGTCCTTTTTATCTGCTAATGGGGATACCAAGGGTATGTCGTCGGTGCAAAGCCTTCCTTTATACATGAAACCAAAAACCTTTTTTCTCTAGCTGCTTATTATATGTCAGGGTCTATAATCTAGAAGTATTTGTTAATTCTAACATGGCCTATAATCCTACCTATTCCACAGCCTAGGGGGGCTTGAAATACGATCTGCATCACAGGGTCTGCTTCCTCTCTCATAACATGTATGGATTGGGGCTCTGGCCTACTACAGTTTATTTAGGGGAAAATGCCTTGTGTGTCTCTCAAATACCAAATCATGGTGAGAAGGGGATGGAAGGACTCAAAGCAATTGGAAGGCATCTGTCTTTGTCAATCATTGGTAAATTGGGGGAGGGGGTTTGAAGCTGGGTTGGGGTGGAGGTTAGAGGGTAGGGAGAATTCGAATCAGAGATCATCAAATTCAACCCCTTCATATTATAGCCAGGGACGTTGCCAGTGACTCTAAGATCCTTTCCAGCCATGAGGCCTAGAGGAGTTAAATGACTTCCCAAGTTTCACAGTGAATTAGTAGTCCATCAAAGAAGTCAAAGCTAGGTCTTCTGACTCCTGGCTCAGTTCTCTTTCCATTCTACCTTGGTGCCTTTATGAAAGAATTCCTTCACCCCCCTGAGAAACTTTCTAGAGTCCATAACTGTATCACTGGATTTCTTGCTTTCTCAACTGTGGAAGAAAATCCTTAAAACTTTGCAGCTTCTTCAAACCAAGGTGAAAAATTATTCATCTAGATGTGGAGTGACTGGGTGGGTTTTGAGGGGTTTCCAAGTCCTTTTTCTCATGGGATTCAGGAAAGGAGGAACTATCTCTGAAAGACAATGCTCTGTTATGCAAGGAAAAGACCTGAGGTATTGATTTAACAATAAAAAAAAAATCATCTGAGTTTGTTGTTTGTAAATTGAGATATCCCCAAAGATAGACACAGAATAATCATAATAGCTGACATTTATATAGTGTTTACTATGTGCTAAGTGCTTTACAATTATTATCTCTTTTAATCCTCACAACAACTTTGGGAGGTAGGTGTTACTATGATCCTCACTGGATAGATGAGAAACCTGAGGCAAACAGGGTTAAGTGACTTGCCTAGGGTCACACAGCTAGTATCTAAGGCCAGACTTGAATTCAGGTCTTCCTGCCTCCAGACCCATGTTCTATCCACTGTGCCACCCAGCCATAAATGGAGACCTGACCAAGGGACATGGACAGGGTAGAAACAAAGCTTACTTTTTCTTTTTCCTTTTCCTTTTTTTTCATTAATGAAGAAACACAATTATTATTTACAATACAGTATACAAACCCCCCATTTCCCACCCCATCTATTTCAGGTTTATGAAGAGGAATAAACACTCCCTATTCCAGAAGAACCGGAGACCAGATGATTCCAAAATACCACCAGCTACATGGCTACCAATCAGAGCTGAACTTGAAACAAGTGAGCATTTGGAGAGAAAACATTGAAAATTAAATACCAAAGACCATCGCTTTCATATAATTTTAATCACGCTGTTACATCATCACTTCCTCTAGCATGAAACATCTTTCTTTGAAACGTAAATTTAAATAAAAATAAACTATCATACTATCTTGGACCCTGCTTCAATGTCCTTCTCTCTCTCTCTCTCTCTCTCTCTCTCTCTCTCTCTCTCTCTCTCTCTCTCTCTGTCTATTTCTCTCCCTATCTTTCTCTCTCTCTTTCTCTTCAAGATGCCAGACTTCACACTTAACCCTGATTGCCTCCCCGTACCAGACAACAACAACAACAATAAAACAAAAAAGGGGCAGCTAGGTGGCTCAGTGGATAGAGCGCTGGCCCTGGAGTCAGGAGGACCTGAATTCAAATCAGGCCTCAGACACTTACTAGCTGTGTGACACTGGGCAAGTCACTTAACTCTGATTGCCTTCCCCCTCAACCAAAATAACAACAAGATGTCAGATTTCAAAAATTAAGGGATCATGGTTGATCCTTCCCTAAGATCCTATGGCAAATAGCACTTCTACTAATAATAATGTGAGTAGCAACGTGAGTATAGTGGATAGAGAGTTGACTTTGGAATCAGGAAGACCTGAGTTCAAGTTCCACTTCTGACATATACTAGCTGTGTGACACCATGAGAAACTTCACTTCACTTCTCAGTTGCCCCAGGTAACTTCTCAAGACTTTGAGTTACAGAGCAGGGATGATAATGTGCCTCCTTAGCAGGCTAATGGGAGTTCTCTATATGAATGAAATCCCATCTAGAAATATTTTTAAAATAATACTACTAGCTCCTTATATTATCAAACATTATAAGAATATTTTAATAAAATAAATTCTCTTCATTCCCACTTCTCTTAGTTGAATACTCTTCTGAGCAGCACAGACATACCCCTTATAATTTGCCCAACTGACCTCATTTCACAACAACATTGCTAGTATGTTATAGCTGAACTCCACAAAGTAATTTCAGAAAACACCATTGTAATAACATCTGCCTGATCACCCATTTATGACAATGTTTTCAGGAAACAAGTGCCTCCTGGGACATTGTTTCACCTACCATTGTGTTGAAGCAACTAATGACCTTAATGGGCCTATGCCTCTAAGTACCTAACTAGACGTGATTCTTTAGCCCCATAGTAGCCCTACTGGAAAGTGGCTGACAGCCCAAGGTCAGGGTGGTGAAGAAGGCTGGGACTGTTGCTCTCAGGCTCAGCGACTCTCCTCCCCCGCAACAACTTTTCTTCAACTGCGCTGTTTCAAAAAAAACGAAAATAAAGTGAACAAAAAAAGCTCCTGGGCTCAGTTGTGTAGCTCTTTTCATAATTGTTGCTATGATCCTCTCCTTTCTTGCCTTCATCCATCCATCATTCTCCAAGGAGATGATTGGTTCCATTTAATTCAACAAGCATTTATTCAATGTCTAATGTGTGTAAAGCACCTTACTAGGTGCTGGGGCCTCAAAAGCAATAATGAAACCATCCTAACATAGCTTGCATTGTACTGGGACGAAACACGTTTGTTGATGTCTTGTAGATTTCACCAACAGGACCTTAAACTGAAGTAACATCTGAAAGATCTACAGGACAGAACTGGAGGAGGCAAATGTTCTAGTTTTTGAGAAAGGGAAGAAATAGAAGCTGCCAATTAAAGACCAATGAGTTTGAGGTCAACTCCTGGCAAAATTGTAGATGGTATTACTAAAGAGGTGGTTAATAAACACCTAGAAAAGGAAGCAGCCATCACAAAGCACCAGCTAGGTTTCAGGAACAAGTCATATCAGTTGTTATTGTTCAATCATTTCAGTTGTGTCCAATTCTTCATGATCTTATTTGGAATTTTCTTGGCAAAGATGCTGAAGTGGTTTGTCATTTCCTTCTCCACCTCATTTTACAGATGAAGAAACTGAGGCAAACTTGGTTAAGTGACTTGCCCAGGATCACACAGCTAATAAGTGTCTGAAGCCAGATTTGAACTCACAAAAATGAGTCTTCCTCACTCTAGGCCCAACACTCTATCCACTGTGCTACCTAGCTGCCCGTAAGGTATACCAGATTTAAGTTTATTTCTTTTTTGATAGAGTGCTAAACTAATTAAATCATAGGAATACTGTATATATAGTGCACCTACATTTTAGCAAGGTTTTTTTTTCTCTTAAGACTTTTTTTCCCAATGAACAATTATTCATTTTCTCTCCCTCCCACCCCCTTCCCAACTCCCAGAGGAAAAAAAATAAAAAAGAAAAACAAAGTCTTTGTTACAAATATGTGTAATAAAGAAAACTCAATTCCCATGTTGGCCGTGCCATAAAGTGTGCAACTCATTCTTCACATTTAGTCTGTCACCTCTCTGTCAGAAGGTGGTAGCATGCTTCATCATCAGCCCTCTGGAATCATGATTGGCCATTGCACTGATCTGTGTTCTCAAGACTTTCAAAGCTTTTACAATATTGTTGTGAGAGTATAAATTATTCTGCTAGTTCTGCTCACTTCACTGTGCACTATTCTATACATTTCTTCTCAAGTTTCTCTGAAACTCATTTGCATCATTTCTTTTACTGCACTAGTGTTCCATTATATTCATATATCATAATTTATTCAGCCATCTGATAAAGAATGCAGGAAAAGTAGAGTAATATTTGCTAGGCAATGGTGCAACCAGAAGAATTCAGAACTGACGTAATTAGCTGGATTTCAGAAGAAGTCAAAATGGCTTTGTGTGATTCAGGATGTTTCCAATGGAGGGACCTATGGAGGGACCTATGGATTTGGGTGTGGCCCTCTGCTATTCAATTTTTAATTAATTTAATTAATTTAAATTAATTTAATATTTTACTTGATGATTTGAATAAAGCCAAAAAAATGTAGTTATCCTTCTCATCCTTTGAGCTGTGAATGAGAGATCATCTTTTGTTCAGGTGACAAACTAGATAAATGAGTCACAATTCAACGTGCTCTTGACAAGCTACAAGAATAGGGGAAAATATAATAAGATGAAACTTAATAGGGATACATGTAAAGACTTAAGTGACTTTAAAAATTGCCTTTATAATGCTAAGAAGAGAGATGGATAATTAGTCAGCAGGCAATTTGTTTTCAAAGAGCTGGGGTTTAGGTGGACCAAAAGCCCACTATGAGGTGAAAGCAAAGGAGAGCCAAAAAATCTAATGGGGCCTTGGCTACCATTAAGAGAGCAACAACTTCTGAGAATAACTGGAAGCAACATACTTTCCTGGTCTGACCACAGCTGGAGTACTTATGAGTGCCACGTTTTAGCAAAAACATTGATAAGCTGGAGAGTGTCCAGAGGAGGGGTCCAACACAGAACCAGAATGCTAAAGGGCCTTAAGTTTATGCCATATGAAGACCATTTGAAGGAGCCAGAAATATTTAACATGGAGAAGCTAAGACTCAGGTAGAACATGACAGTAGACAAAGTATTTGAAAGGTTGTCGTAAGGGCTGGAATTCCCCTGGCTGGGGAACCCTGTCCCCCACCCTGCCATAACCATAGGGTGTTCTTTTGTACCAAAGCTTTTGTACCCAAAGCTCCAAGAGACCATGGAGCTCTAGACTGCTCATAGGGAGTAGTTTAATCACTCATTATGAATGCTTACAAAACAGGGGCAATCTTTGATCTGGAGTAGCAGCCAGACAGTTCAGTGAATCTCTGCTAAGAACCCCAAAATCTCCATGGTAATTACAGAAAAGAGATGAATGCTGGAGGAGCTAGAGAGTGTATCACTACTGATTGGTGGATATTTTGGGGTTTTTGCTTAGTAATGAGCTTGGAGTTAAGCCAATGTTTTGTCCAAACATAAGTTTGTGATGAATCATATGGGTCACAATATTGTTTTGGCTTTCATAGGTCTTCGTATCTTGAGTTATGACTCAGTGTCTAAAATATAATTCAATATCTAAGTTATGATTATAAGCAGGTTACCATGTTTGGGCTTCCACCTTTCACAGAGTTTAAGTTTTTATGGCTTTTCACTTATTACTGTATTTTATGGCTTTTTCCCCAATCAGTAACCCGCAGCTGTCATGTAGAGGTTTTTCATTTGGCTCCAGAGGAGAGGACTAAGAATTAACAGATACAACTTGAAAAGGCTTTATGCTAAAAAATGCCTTCATAATAAATTAGAGCTATCCAAAAGTGTAGTGGGCTACCTTGGATGGTGGTGGGCTCCTGTTTACTGGAGGTTTCCTTAAGCAAAGAGTAAATGTCTATTTATAAGGTATAAAAAATAGGGCCTCTGTTACAAATACAGTTTAGAATAGATTACTTCTGGGGCAGTAAGGTGGTGCAGTGGATAGAATGGGCCCTGGAGTCAGGAGGACCTGAGTTCAAATCCGACCTCAGACCAAACACTTGACACTTACTAGCTGTGTGACCTTGGGCAAGTCACTTAACCTCAACTGCCTAAAAATAAAATAAAAAAAGCTATAGAATAGATGACTTCCGAAGTACCTACAAACCCTGAAAATCTGTAATACTGTGAGTGCACACAAATGTTGAAATGCAAAATTTATTCCAAGTGAATACAAATTATTTCAGCGGCTAGGAAAGGCACCAGCAATTGGGGTATTAGTAAAGGAAGACCCTGTGTGGCACCTGAACCGAGCCTCGGAAAGAGCTAGCGATTCTGAAAGATGTGAATTCCCTCATTCCAGCAATGAGGGAGAACCTGAGCAAAGGTGAAGAGGGTAGAAATGGAATGGCATCTGCAAGGATGAGCATGTCAATTTGGTAGGACCACAGAGGGTGTAGAGACTAAGAAATCGGAGTTTTCTCTTGGAGAAAATAGGGAGTTATGAAATATTCTGGAGCAGGAAAGAGACACCGTACAGTTTGGGCTGATTGTTGTTCAGTTGTTCTCAGTCACGTCCGGCTCTTCGTGACCCTATTTGGGGTTTTCTTGGCAATACTGCAGTGGTTTGCCATTTCCTCCTCCAGCTCATTTTACAGATGAGGAAACTGAGGCAAACAGGGTTAAGTGACTTGCCGAGGGTCACACAGCTAGTAAGTGTCATATGTCTGAAACTAGATTTGAACTCGGGTCCTTCTGACTCCAAGGCCAGAGCTC